ACCTGTCAATCAAACTTAACACAAAGGGATACCGCCGTGGGTGGTCCCCCCTGAGTGGTCCCAGGGGGATGTTTTGTTAATGGACCTGTCAATCAAACTTAACACAAAGGGATACCGCCGTGGGTGGTCCCCCTGAGTGGTCCCAGAGGGATGTTTTGTTAATGGACCTGACAATCAGACCTTATCGGGTTGGACAGTGAACCGTAAGTATTGTGTTAATGCATCTAAAGGTCATTGACCTCGCACTGTTTGTATACTTCTGAATTTACTTTTTAATTGGCACAATGAGCGCAAAACAAGTGCAATCTACCCAGGATGTTTACTTTTTCTTGAAAAATACACATCCTCGTTAGAATGCACATGTTTGAAGCCGCCGACAACCCACAATTGGGACCTATCAATCTTGAAATATATTTATTTACATGTGTTATATTTTTAATTGGCACAGCGATTAATTTAATAGGACCTGTCAATCAAATCTAACTGGATGGTTAGTGAACCGTAAGTACTGTGTTAATGCAACTGAAGGTCATTACCCTCTTGTAGTGTACAAAACCATTTTTAAACGAGATTCTTCGATCTATCGATACTATCGATTATCGATTTATTGAATGGGTTATTCGATTATTTGAATGTTCAAAAGCGGAAGACCGAGGTCACTGCCATCATAAGAAAGTGTTTACTAATCTCCAATTGGAGCTGTCATTGACCTTACCCCTCTTGGTGTGTACAAAACATTTTGAAACGAGATTCTTCGATTATCGATTTATTGAATCGGTTATTCGATTATTTGAATCTTCATAAGCGGAAGGCCGAGGTCACTGCCATCATAAGAAAGTGTTTACTAATCTCCAATTGGAGCTGTAGTATGGGCGATCCTCTGAAGGGGGATCAAATTTTGCGAAAAAATCTAATTTAAAAAAAATAATTCTTGTAGAATTTCAAAAAAGAGTTTAAAGAGTAATGTAAGGTCACTTACAAGTTGAAGATTTTAAAAATAAAAACGGGAAGAGGGTTTAAAATTTAATTTCTAAACATCTTACCGGTTTGCATTTTTACTTTTCAAATCCAAGTGTACACTCAACAATGAAAAAATCTTTAAATTTAGGAAATTCACGTTATAGATAACACAGAGAAATTCGTTGATGCAAAAATTTTATTAGAGCAAAATACAAATTGGAATCTGGGGCATGACAGTCCCCAGACCCGAAGGCCTATTTTAACATACTAAGGATAGAATATAGCTTAAGACTAAAAATTTATACAATTTAGACATCTGGAAAGCGTAGAGTTGGAAATAGTTGTGAAGTAAGAAAAAAAATGTATTGGCACGAACATATCAAAAAAATCACTTGAAATGTACTCATTGGACACGGGGTGATGCTCAAAGTGGACAGATGGACTCATCAAAAAATCCTGAGGGGTCTATCGAACCTAATTAAAGGCCTCAACGTCAGAATTTATTACCACACAAACATTCATTTGACCGACTACATCTATTGGAGCTAGTTAAAGTCCTCAACTGCCAGTCTTTTTTAAGCACATTCAAAGCAGGCAACGACTATCGACCCATCATACAGGGTTCTACGACAGTAGATGCCAAAAATCCACAGTCATCAAAACCGTTTTTCAAAAAATAACTACACCACGGTACACATTTTTTGAAATAAGTTTTATCAGAGAAAGGTTTTGAAAAACATTTCAGTTGCAAACTGAACCCTGCTGCAAGCTTAGGTTTATGCAAAAAAGGAACAATTATGACATGTTTTTTGCCGTTACACCATTCGCGCTTCACAAGCATATTGCTTTTTAATAATCAAATCTGTAGCTAAAACCAACTTTACATTCCAAAACTAAATTTACAATTATGGCAAAACAAGAGTGCTGAATGTCTTTAAAAACAAAATCAAACTCTTCAGCGGTGAAGTCATTATGATTCGAAGGAAAATCAGAAGGTTTTAAATTTGCCAAAGCTAATGTAACAGAACTCTCGTCGTGAGAAGATAAGTTATGCTTAAGATGAGTACAAATAGAGTCAAACAGAGCTCTAATCTTCTTTTCGTTCTTCAAGCATTTGCGCACACACGAGTCTACGATGGTCAGGATTCCTTTCAAGAAGTTCCACGTTTCCTCCTGGAAACTGATTTGACGAGGGAAATGATCGGCTGCAGGCACAGACTCCTTGATGATGACGGTCCTCCTATAGTAGAGTCTGGTGAATTCAAGAGTCCTGCGAGCAGAACCCAGCAGGATGGATGGTCGAGGAATACCGGTGCGGAAAAATTCGTCTATTTCCACTCTATTGGCGACAAGTTCAAACCACTCCGTAGGTGTTAACTCGATTCCGTTTTGGGCAGAGGAATGTTTGTGGAAGTGGATGCGCGTCGCAAAGTTCTCGTTCACAGAATGCCCGACGATGATTTGTTTAGTGGCGTTACTTGTCACACAAAAACTAGAGTTTGCTACAGTTTTCACGTTTAAAAATCCCGGACACTTCTTCCGCAGAGAGGGAGACAGAGGAGGAGATGACATGTTTAGGGACGAAAACCACAAAAAAAACTTCGTAGGAAGGCGACTGTCACAGGAGGGTACGAGTCCGAGATGACCGAACGGACGCGAGGGAGAGCAAAGAATGGTGGGACAAAAACTAGCGCTGCGCGGTCAGAGGACCAAAAAACCAGTTCCGGCGTGGGCGGCCAACAGGTTTCAACATGTCAGCGGTTCTTAGAACCTACGACAAGAACAACCCTGCACCTTAGGGTAAGCAGGTAACTTCTTTCGACCTACACCTTGGAACAATTTATGAAACACTTTGACGACTATTTTATCGTTCATAAGAGGAGGACCTGGAAAGATTTGTAAAAATTCTCTCATAGAACGGCCATGCACTTTAAAATAAAGGAAAAGCAAACAATACTGTCCGCAAACGGTGGTATTGTAGCTCTGCAATCCTGTCTTATTATGAATCCACCTTTTACAAGACGTAGTTAAAAACTTCGTGTGAGATTCCACAAGCGGAGGGAAACCATAACTGTCAAAATATTCTCCATTCTTATACTTGTCGATGAAAACGGCCACCCAATGGGAGCCAGGACGCGTATCAGGATCGGTATTGATAACGAGGGCACAAGGTGTAGAGAGAGTGTTCGGTAACCTGTTTGCTGCAAAAACTTTTGCGTTTACGCGTAAAGTTTCCAGGGCTGCTTCAATCTGGAGGGAATTCATTTTCAGGCACCGTAGTCAGCACTCACAGTACGACTCTGGTCTATTTCGATAACGTTATCGAACTCTGCGTACGTAATCACTGTCACAGGATCACCTAAAGCTGCTTTAAACCGCAACTCAAATCTTAAACTTCCTTGGCGAACCAGAGACCAGTGAGATTTCATGTGCGCCTCTAAATCAGGAGTGAAATCAACAGCGAAAAGAGTATAGCCTTTAGCATACTCGTCACGTGCTATATGATTACCAGAGTTAGAGTAGTTGATCCCAGTCCCAGAGAATAAAGTACGGTATGCTCTAATGAAATCGCCGGATTCAAAATCAGGAGTAAGAATTTTCCCGGGTATCTGTTGTCCATCAACATAAATTGCTGCGTGACTTAGGTTAAAATGTTGGAAATTGAAAGGGTTGCTGCCTATAGTACCCGTGAAAGCAGCGTTAGAGACCATGCCCACAATAATACGTGTGGGTAACTGACCGCTGAACACGTTATCCAGAGAGGCACTTTGAACTCCAGCGGCTATAGTATTGGCCTTCACATCAGCTCTGGTTATAGGATATTTTGCTGTTTCATTTGAGAGACCCGCAGCGTGAGCCAACTTAACACTTGGAGCCACATTTGCACGTCTGATCCATAAGTTAGCTTCCAAAATACTAGTTTTATAATTAGCGTTACCGATCAGATGAAACTCAGGCCGTGACCGAATAAATTTCAATTTCAATTCAACACCATTAAGCAAAAACTTTTCCTGGTTGAAAATATCCGAATGAATGTGTCCTTCCATAGCAACTATTTTACTCCGAGAAGTGAAACTTCGACGTTTTTTTAATCCTTCATTGTCGGCGGCCTCCATATGTTCAGGAGTGTCTCTATACCACAAGACACTTGTGAGATGAGAGTCTTTAGCTTCAGGGCCGTACGTCAATAAGTTTTCAATGTAAGCTCTGTAAGGATAGGCATTGCTGCTTGGTGAGACAAGTTTCTGATTCAAATAAACGTCCACTTGCGAAAAAAGAGAATGCATCCAGTTATTAACGGGTCCAATAGTAGCATCGTCGGCAGCAACCAAATTAGTACCATCAGCTTTGACAATTTTCGCTTTAATTTCCAGGTAAGTCTGGGATAAATCGATGTATTCATCACCCTGGCCAGGCACTATAAACTCTATAGGGGCATCTTCAGCCAGCGACGATATAGGTTTGTAGCAAACTTCATATCCATTCTCTATGTGAGTTTGTGTGGGAGGCAGAGAGAATATATCCAATTCAGATTTCGTGCAATCACAACTATTTGAATGTACAAGAGCCATTTTTAACCGAAGATATCAGAACTGTATTTGCTTCTTGGACCAGCACGAGCTTGTCTACGTTTCTTGGGAGGGCGCTTCTTTGTGGCACGTTTCTTGGGCTTGCGCTTCTTTGTCTTGTGTGTAGGCCTTCTCCTGGAGTGTTTCACTTTTCGCGAGGACTTGCGCTTCCGAGAGCTGGTTTTAGACTGGCCAGATTGTCTGGATCTTTTCTTCTTATACACCCGTCCGCCACCTAGTAGAGTGTTTGCAGCTTTTCTTTTCAAGTTAGACTGGGCTTCACTTAACCTAGACTGAAAAGCACTGCCCGCGGGTACGTTGTTGTCCAGATCGTTTAGAAAGTTGACCCCTGAATGGAAAAGTTCTTTACCCACAACGCGAGCGCCTCTCTGTAGAATAGGCAATGAAGCACGAAATAATCCCTTTAGAAACGTACCTATACCATGACCTCTCTGATTGGGAGACCCGCGGTACACCGTTAGAATACCACCACCACCTCTCTGATAGTGATAGTAACTCATTTTTTCAGAGGTTTTGAATCAAAATTTGGAGAGAAATTACCGCAGCCTCCGAAAATGTAGCTTCACGTTCAACTGTCCGTCGATGAATGGCAAAGGGTTCCCAAGATCATCCCTTAAATCGATTTCTAGATGTTGAAAATCTCTCCTCATGACGGGCACATAATGAGGGTGTGAAAAAACTTGAACAGCTTGATCATTCGAGTCAACCTGAGCTTTATCGATCGTGACAATTCTAAGTAGTTGAGCCAGAGAGTCTCCAACCAATTGAGGTGTTATTATATCACAATATATATACATATGGTGAGGAGTGTTGTTCATAAGATTTGGAATGCGAACACTTTCTACTCTCTCTGTTATATCCATAAGAGGGAGCCCTAATATTCTACGCAAAGGCTCTGTAAGAACGATCCTTTTGGTGCCTGCCTCCAAGTTGATTATAACTTTTGAATTGTTCACTTCACCAACAGAACCCGAAGTCTCGAACACGATATCGGCCACTTGACGGAAATCTTCATTTTGCTGCATAACCTCAACCAACTCTTTAACCGTTCTATAATTCCCTTTTCGAAAAACAATGCGCTTCTGCACTATATTAGGATTGGGGACGACGACATCATCTGATGAAACTTCTGTAGAATAAACCGTCTCTGCAAGCTTAAGATCCCGAGTAGGAAATTTTTCGTATTCTACCCAAAGGGCAAAAAGGGTACTTGCTATAGCTAAAAACTTGGTGGGATAATGTATCTCAACTAATCCCACTTCCCACTCGCCATTTAGAGAAATCCTATCCTGAAGATGAGTCTTGTAACTTGTGAGGGTGTTCTCGGGAAACACACCCATCGAGCTGTTGGACGGCAGAGTTAAATAAAAGTGCTCACTCATTTTAAGGTTAGTAAATTTGATTCAGGAATCCACGAATTGAAACTAGCAGGATAACCTACCCAACTGACAAACACTTCTCGAATGGTTCCATTCTTCCGGTGCCCTAGTATTTTATCTATTTTGTACGACTTGTCTTTGATGCCTACGACAGGTTGCACCTCATGCTCATAAAAATACCCGTCAATTTTCTCACCATTCAAATCTTCCAATTCATACACTGGTCGAGACCTCTTCAAAACTCTAATAATTTTAAAAATTTCTTCTGTAAAATTTGTTTCATAACCTTTTTCAAACATGGATTTTTTTTTGGAAATTCTACAGTAGACGCCCACACCCAGTTTTGGTTTTACATGACGTTGAGGTACAGCGTAAAGTCTCCTCCATACACTAAGAACATTCGTTTCGTTCACGTCACACGGTCTCATTTTTAAAACAGAATGAACAGAATGGTTGTAAGCATATACTAAATCTTGCAACACATCAATGTATCGAAAAGAATTGTTGAAAGATAGGTAGCGCCACATTCGATGCTTGAGTGTTTTGTTGAACCTTTCTACCAGAGAAGCCTTGACGTCAGGGTTTTTTGTCGTAAAAAAATTAATTTTGTTTGCAGCAAAAAAAGGAACCAGGCCTTTTCCAACGAACTCGGAACCTTTATCTGTTTCTAAAGAAACACACTTCCTACCAGTAGCAAGTATGTCTTGAAAAGCTGCTTTAATGCTAGCATTATGTTTAGTTTTAAGAGCGCGGACCCAAGCATAGCGGCTAAATGCGTCAATCACTGTCATAAGATAATTGGTATTATCATTATGACTGCTTAATGTACGCATATCGCAAAGATCAGCTTGCCACAAATCATCAATGTTATCCACGTAATATTTGTTGCGAGGGAATCTTTTTCTTGCCGCTCTATGTAAAGTGTACGTGTCCTGTGTCAATAGCCAATTCCTAGCATCTTTAGTCGAAAAATTCCCTGCTCTTGCTAAATTTGCTATGCTAGAAAAACTACCAGGATTTCGAGGATCGTAATATATTTTATCCATTGCTCTAATCGGTGAACCTAAAAGATTCCCAGTTCAAATTTCGTCTGGAAGCCTTAGGGATTGCACCTGTCTTACTTTTTCGAGGCGTCGCCTCTGACCACATGCTCTCTAACACAGAGGGTTCTAATTTGGATACGGGACCTGGCGTCACCTGAGGAGGTTTTCGAGTGGAGGACAAGGGTGTGAGGTAACGAGGGGTTCCTCCAACAGCGAAGTCACGAATGACACGTCTGCGATCTTCATTCCCTATAAGTTCTTGTGGCATATTGATCCGTGCTAAAGTCTTATAAAAATCCTCCCAACCATCAGGAATACTAACGTTTTTACGTTTACGCAGCGCATCATTCACTAGATCGACAATGTGAGCATTAGGTATTTCCTTATTATCTATGAAAACCTTACCATCATCCGTCCAACTGATGAGTTCGCTTCTTCTCAAATTACCTAATAAAGCTAACGCCTTAGGATGATATGCTCTTGGTATAGTTTCCAAAATAGTAGCAGAACTAGGGGAGACGGCGGGACCAAGCACTGGTAAGTTGTGGCGATGCATGGGAGGATCTTGTTCCGGCTCACCACCGGCTCCTCTTCCAACATCCCTCCTCTCTCGCACACCATTGTCAAAACCATCTATTGTGAAGGACAGGGGTTTACGCCTCTCTTCAGCATAGCGTAAACATCTTTGTAAGGTTTGTTGATACCTAGTCCATTTTTCGTAATCGTCCAAGTGTGGATCTTTCAAAACTTCAGCCAATTCATTATGTAAGACCTCCAATGGATCTGAACGGGGCTGGGGTTGGTGGAACCTACTCAGGGTTTCTGAGGGGACAAGAATCATTTTTTTCGCATGCTCCATCACAATTTTCAATTGAGAACAGAACTTAACACAGCAGACAAAACAGGTCCTAAAATCAGAGGTATGAAATTTCCACCTTTTTGGATAAGGATTTTCTTCTTACTTTTCCAACCACCTTTCCGTAGCACTAACTTACGCAACAACCGTTTATGAAGAGACAACTTTTTTCTCTGAGCAGAGTTAATTGGAACCCGGCCTTTTATTACGTTCAGAGCACACCCACATAAACATTGTACTATCTCCTTGTCAGCTGTTTTCAAGAACGCCACCCTTTGCTTGGGTTTTAATTTTGCCAAAGCTTTCAACAAATCAGCATTTTTAACCACCTCTCTGACCATGTTGGAATTTTTAAGGAATGAAAGAAAGGTAAATTTAAAGTTGTTCACTGGACGAGTGTACTTTTCAGACTGAGAGTGGAAAGTTTGTAGGTTGATATTTATTAAGAGACATTATTTGCGAGGAACATAAACTACTGTTGCTGAGTCTTTTGGAAATATATCTGTGCGAAATCTGAATTCCTCAGGAGTTGATTGTTTCAAGTCAATGAGCAAATAACCATGTGGTTTTGATGTCGCATCTGAAAATGCCTCAACTAAAAATTTACTGTTTTGAGGACACATTTGCTGAGCTAAATGTCTGATTTGAGCTTTGTCTCTAGGGTTTTTGAACAGAACTAAATAATGACTGTTTAAACTTAAGTCTCTTTGATTTTTTCCTTTGTAAAATATATTTTGAGTTAAGAAAAATGTACTAATGTTCTTGTGGTGACATCCTTTTGTGAACAGGTCGATAATGACTGAACTATTTGCAGACTCTCTCATTAAGTCATCTATAATTATTAATTTAGGAGTTTCAGAATCAAAGTTGGTGTCTGGCAATCCCTCGATGAACGTTACACCAGGAATATTTAAATCTGGTTGCCAGATACTATAATGCCAGAAAATATTACTAAACTTGGTATCACACATTTTTGAAATATTTTTGATAAAATTGACAACAAAATAAGATTTACCAGAGCCTGAAGGGCCTGCGACAATTGCCGCAAAAGGATGTTTCCACGTAGGATCCATGTTTGCAACTAACTATTTTTCAGGAAGTCAAAAGAATTTAAAGAATGCAAAAGATAATTCTTGAGTTTCGATATGAAATAAATTTTATATAACATTTTTACAAGGTATGTACAATCACATTTTTTACTCACACACAAAGAAAGTCAAGATCATGATAAGGGAAACTTTTTTTCCGTACAAAGTTACACCTTTTTTTTAAAAAAATTCTGACACACTTACGACACACACACACAAAATACAAAAAATCGAAACACTGAACCTTTGAACAAATTTGCAAAATAAATATCATCATTTTTCTTTTCTTATTTACAAGAACATTGAACCAAAAAATATTTTGTTTACATTTGTACATTTATTGACAAGAAAGCAGATTGAACATGAAAATGGGAAAGCAAATGAGTGGTAACGAAGTTGTGGCGATGCAAAATAATAATAACAATAATAAAATGTTGTAAATGTTCCGAGAAAAAGAAATTGTTCCATTTGAAAGAATGAGAGTTTTCAAAGTTGAAATGTTAAAATAAAATGTGTCACAGTTTAAAATTTTAAAATACAAGTGCAACGTGAGAGATTTCGGAGAAGAAGCTGAGGGTTACAAAAAATTTCACAAGAAAAAAACAACAACAAGATAATAGTCAGTGAAAAACAGAGATTACGATAGACGGATCCTTTTTGTTCCATAAGGCAGAGTATCGTAAGAACCCTCCAGTCGACGTCGTTTTGTGTAGACTACTCTATAAATTTTACTTTGGGATGTTGTTGTGATTCGCCATTCAGGTCTTCTAACAATTTTGTAGGGGATAGGAACAAGAATTGGAGCAATTTCATTCAGGATAGACCTTTTAATAGTTTCAAAATTTACCAATCTGGAAGCTCTGTAATTTAGAGAGATACCTCTGACTTTACACACGGTTTGTTTATTACTTCTGTCACCTTTAACAGCAACTTCATACCCATAGTTTTTCGGTCCACCGCTGACAAAAGTCGTTATAAACGAGCCCTCACCATAAGCGGCCAGTTCATCTGTAAGATCACCGAGGTAATCACCCCTCTCTAGCAACTGTTCACCTGGTCTGCGCGTGTACACTACCGAGTCTGTATCGAAATACAGAGCGCGGTGTTGCAATTTTTCTAAATAAGAGAAAAGTTTTAAACGCGCTTGTGCCGTCACAAAAGCCGCTAGAACAACATTGGACTTTTTGCTCGGAATTATTGCTTCCTCCGTTGCTTTAGTAGTGATTAACATTACCTCATCTGAGATGGGATGGAAGCTTTGGATGTCAACTGAAGGGTCCTCAAACACACTAGTTATTTCAGCTGGATCATTGAACAATTTGGCTTCGGTGAAATTGTCACGCTGACCCCACTTCCCCCAAAATGAATTGAGCAATAATTTAGCAATGGATCGGAACCCTGGATTACTTTGTATGTTGTTACGATCCAATCGGATATCTTCCTTGCGTTCATACTCTTCAATATACTTTACTTTATCTTCCTCAGTGACACACCATTGAGGCCAGCCACTAGCCTCTTGCTTAAGTTTTAAAAATTTATTCACGTATTTATCAAAGAGACCCCCTGTTTTTGTTTGTTTATCAAATTTGGTCGTTTTGTAGTGCCAGATTTCATATACTTTTACTACCTTATATCCTAGCTCCTCTGCCTTTTGTAACTCCAAGGAGACCCATGTTCCTGTAAGACTACGCTCCTCATCAGTATGAGTACAAAATGCCTGAACACATTCCTCTGCACATGTCCTACACAATGGAAAGAGGAGTTTACCTCCACTCCTGTATGGCAACACTGGATGATACAACACTGGGGGTGGTAAAACCTTGCACTTGATGAGACCTTTAATATGCGTTATTTTCTTCCCATCACACTCTGCGCCGTACAAAATTTCTGTGGGATGGCCGACAGGAAACTCTCCATATTTGCACACATACGGATATAAAGAGCAAACATCGTCATAATGTATCGTTTCGCCAGCTAGAACATCTGTTTCTTTAAATAATTTGACAGCATTCGTCCGACCCCCAAAGAAGGCATCTTTGGGAACTAGAGGAGGGACAAGATATTCGGCTTTAGAATTCAGACAGAAGGTCTTTACATCAGCATTCGTATTTTTCAAAAGTTCCCACTCACATTCCCACATTGTCACGAGATGGTATACAGGATCATTATTTTGATCTTTTACGGCTTTAATTGTAGACTCTTTGGTTAAGGTTCGTTGGAAACGCAAATTAAAGGTCTCATCGGGCGCATTGGCGATCGGTCTGTCCCGCCCGTCTCTTTTACATTTTTCACAGCCGTGGAAGAAACAACCATAAAACTCCAAAATCAATTTCAACTCAGGGACATAACCATCAACTTTGCATCGAAGACCAGGAGGTACTACCTCGCGGCCATTCCCAGCATGCCGAACGTTAAGATTCTGCGAATGAGCATACCAATCTAACCATAACAAAGCTGCTGTGCTTTGATTGTCAGCTCTGCGGTAACCTGTTTTCGGTATGATGGCAATAGTACGCGGTTCATAAAAGAGTTTCAAATAGGTTTTCATGCATGCGGAAGCGATAGTTACGCACTCCCTAAACGGATCTATGGTTGTTTCTTTGAGAAACATGGCTCTGAATTTCAGACAAGCTTTAGCTAGTATTTCAACGTCAAGCTTGCAGTAAAATAGTAGCTCCTTATCGAAATCAAAAACATGGTCCTCTTCAACTTTTTGCTCATACCAAGACAGAAAAGCTCGTCTTCCAGCGTCCGACATGTCATCAGGCGTGTACATTTCTACAGGTGGCATGGGTCCAACGTAGCCTGCATTTTCAGGCCTGTTAAACATGTGAGGAAAGTACCCCTTGTTTAACTCCCCATCACCGATGCTCATCATTTTAGGCAGTTTAGACAGTGGTGCACATAAAAAATTCAGTGAATCAATAAACGTGATGTTACCAATTTTGACACGCATAAGTTTGGCACCGTTGGAAATCATGGCAGGAGTCCACCCCTCTTCGACAGCCAAAACCCTCAAGATGAAATGGAAATCATAACCTGAGCCATAATGCGCAACGCATGTTATGCTTGAAAAATGTTGTTTTGGCTGACGCAGATGGGCTATGAACTCTTTAACACAATTTGTTCCTGCAAACACTATCTCACGCATACCACAATTTTCGCAAGCATTCAGATCCTCAATGTCCAGACACTTATCGCAGTACTGCCGTGCAACACACAGATTCGCCTCGTGCAGAAACTCTCCAGGTTTGTCTGTTGGAGTACTTTGTTGACACTCCAAATCGTAAAATACAAACAGAAATCCTCTCTTAGAAGGTTTTTGCTCGTCTTTTACTTGTGTGACAAAACACTGGTGACCTCTCTGGACATACTTGGAGCAGACGCCGCAGTACATTTCCTCACATTTGTGTGGCATTTTTTCTCTTCTCTTTGTACTATACACTTTCTGACAAGCAAGACATCGTTTTATCAATTCACACACTGTTTTTTTACCATCGTACACTTTGAGATGATTATTGTAACAATCACCACTTAAAAAGAATCTACCGCAGTTTTGACAAAAACGACCTCTCTCATTCAATTCACACCTTGGTACAGCACAGCACTGCGGACATGCTTGTTTACACCTATGGTCCATTATTTTATGATATGATGTTTTGCACAATCTGCAGTAGTTATTACCCAAAAATCCTGTTAAGTTGCTGATTGTTACAAAATGACCATCTTCATAGAAGAGATCAATATGACGCCTAGGTTGAGCATCGGTGCCTGGAGGACCTTCAAACGCAACACTGGTTCCCCGTCTATCGTCGAATACAGTGAGTGTATAACCTGGCAATGCGTCTTGGAAGTTTCTCACTTCATCGAGTCCTCCTCCAAATGTCAAATCGACGCCAGCCAAGTCACACAGTTGTAACGCTGCTCGTTCCTGTCCATCACAATCTTTCCTAATGAGCCATTTGTATTCAGTCATTGCCTCAGGGCTATCCAATCTATGCACGTGAGCTCTGCCCATAACAATCGCACGGGCTAAACAGAGACCATCATCATTCGGGATGTTGATGATACCTTTTTTCGTGGTCACAAATTTTTGATGACTCATTGTCAGATTAACACCCACTGTTATCCTACCATAACCTACTAGGCATCTTTTAACAGTGAATCTAATTCTCAACGGGCCATCAAGGAGAAAATCCTCGTTTGAGTTCAGAATCTTTTCCAGTCGCTGAAATAATACCTCTGGTGACAACTGGTCACCTCGTCTAGGTGTTATAAACAATGGCTTATTTGCGGAATTGAAACTGGCTATCTCTAACTGTACTCTATCTTGGGGTCTTACAGCTCCTTTTTCCAAAGAAAAAAGAATTAGTTGAGCCAAAGTGTTGTGTAACCAGGGGCTATATGTTTCAGCTCCCGAGGTAGGCTCCGTTGGTGGATCGTTGAGAATCAGATTCAAAGTTAAAATAGCCGCATCCATGTGGGGCAAATCCCTCACTTCTTCTCCGAGTAACCTAAAATTTAAATGTTCAATTGCATCGGAAGTAATATTACCACTTTGTTGCGGTGAGTGTGGTGCAAGCGTTTGAAGTGTTGATGATGGTGAGGCGGGCTGCGACGGAGAGGCGGGCTGGTGTGGAGAGGCGGGCTGCGGTGGAGATGCTGGCTGTGGTGCTGGTTGCGGCGTTGCCAGGCGCGGAGCCACAGGCGGCAGACTAGGGCTCGGTGTCTGGTCCCTCGATGGTCGTGGTGCTGGTTGCGGCGTTGCCAGGCGCGGAGCCACAGGCGGCAGACTAGGGCTCGGTGTCAGGTCCCTCGATGCACGGAGCAGTGCGGGTTGCGGAGATCCAGGGCGCTCACCCTCGGACGGAGGACTAGGGCGCGGCGTGCGCTGAGTTGCGGTCGGTTGCTTAGCGCGCGATCGTTTGCGTCTCCCTGCTCCGTGCATCACCAAAAACCGTTTTTTGGGCGGCAGGCATTGTAGGGCACCCACGGATGTGTTCTGTAAAAAACATGAGTACCACAGATATAGTTTCATGAATGGTCAATCACACGTCACACACCCCTGACTTTGCATACTTTTCAAGTTCTCAGAATGTTTTTATTTTTGTTTTTTATTTGTTTTAACTCTTCTTTAATCTCTAAAGTTGTCGATGCTTCGAAGGATGAAAGAATTGTGGCCCCTACATTTTTTCCGTATAGGCAATTTAAAATATTCGTGTCCGTATCTTGCACCTGCATCTGAGCCAAAAGACCCCCCCCCCCCTCCCCCCCGTCCACCCATTATGTATGTCATTTATTTAATTCATTTTGGATTTTGAATTTTTCGTTCCCGCCTTCTCCCTCTTAAAACATTAATATTGCGCTTAAATGTTTTACCCCTTCCGCATTGAAGATATGCTTTTTTTACATATTTTGTGCTGTTAAGCTGCAAAAACCAAAGTCTCCATTTCAAAATTATTTTCTTACCATTCCATCATCCGAATCAAGCTCCTCTGATGCCATCTGTGAGGGGCAGGGAACTCCCAAATTGTCATCCGCAAAGGCCGCCTGTGAGGGTCCAGGAACTATTAAATTGTTATCCGCAAAGGCCGACTGTGAGGGTCCAGAAACTCTCAAATTGTCATCCGCAAAGTTGCAAAGCTGTAGTGACACCAAAATAAAAATCCAATTTCACCATCCGATTCAAATTTTCAATTATTATTCTAAGCATGAACCTATTTGGTACTTTGTTGTTTTTTGCATATCTCGAGAGTAGGTTGTTTGTTTTTGAAGCAAAAGGATATGTGAAGTGTAAATTTCCCGCAAAAAATCTCCCTTCGTTCTCTTCCATTTTTTTGAAACATGTTTTCTCTATAATAGAGATACACCTTTTCGGTGTTTAGACATGAAAACTTGTGCAGCGTTCAGCCAAAAAGGTACCAAGCGTTTGAACGCCATTATAAAATCCACCTATGTTCCAATGCTATTAAAATTAAAAAGGTTTTTCTACTTTATTAGCTTCTATAATCCAATGGAGAATTCGTTCTAAAAAATCCAACTTTTAATCGTTAAGAAGTCGTCTTTACCATTTCCGTCTCTCCAGAAACACCAGGGGTGGCGACGTGGGCGCTTCGCCATAGATTCTGTACATAGTTCACCAGCATCTCCATTTCCGCCTCCCGCAACACTTCCTGTACCTCCTCCGCGGTCAGCACTGGTAAAGCCATCCTGGAAGGTCTATGTACATTAGTTGTTTGTATTTACAGGTGTTGCATGTCATATAGGTTGTCGAATTCCAGTGCAACGGTGTCCATGACCCGCTCCTCATTTTGTGCCGCAGGGCGTAGGATGCAGCCACTGTGACACACACTAGCCCAAATTCCATCCTCTATCATGCAATCGGTCTCTGCAGTACATTTAAGCATGTGAGAAAACCCATTGCATGTTAGATGATGAAATTTGGACTGATGTGTGTCGTAGTGTGGACATTCAGCAGGGTCTACACACGGAGAATACCCCTGCATCCGCGCGCCGTACGGCACAACATGAGAGCGGAATTCCTCATGGTAAATACCATTGCACTGGATAATGGGGTCCGTCAGCGTCAGTAGTTCGTCGGTAGATCTTGGTCGTTTTGGGGTATCTGTACTGTCATTGGGTGAAGCCGGGCGTTTTAATGAGGGGAGGGGGTCCGGGAGGAAAACACTATCGTCTAAGCTCTGCGATATTATCAAACAGGTAGTAGTACCCGTGAGGATACTACTCTGATTGCTAAATGTTTCATAAAAAGAAAAGTTGGAATTAATTTTAGGTGTTGAAGCCATTAATGGGTAAAAAACGGGGGGAGTCAAACTATCGTGATCATCAATGGGAGAGGGGGGAGGAGAGGGCTGGTAGTCTGTGAGGGCAGGGTCTTCAAAAATGTCGTCCATGAGTGCACTTGTTGAGAGGGTCATAGGGGTCATTGCAGAGGGGGAAGGGATCGGTAAGTTCATAAATGTTGTCTGTGAAAGTGGTGTCGCGTCCAAGTCTATAATCTCTATGGGGGGAGGGGGAGCGGTCTTTCGGGGCTTGGTGGAGAAAAAGTTTCTTTCGTAGGGCGTGCGAGTGTCAATTTTAAAGTCAATGCGTCTGTCAGGGTGTTGTAGGGGCAGGGGTCTAACGATGGTCATTACTTCAATGCTTTCGTTGGAGGAGGTTGAAAGGTTTACAGTGTTGCCAGCCATTTTTTTCTAAGGGTCAGACAAGATTTAAACAAAATAATTAATATGAGAGTTTACAAGTCTCTCTACTTCTTAATCAAATAGTCATGATTTTACGGAAAAAAGTACTATCTGAAAATGTTTTAAGTCCTTAAAAAAAATTGTGCTGCAGGTTTCAATGTTTCAACACTCTTTTGATTTAAATCATTTCCAAATAGTGCTTTTTTCGTAAACTTACGACCAAAGATTGACGTTTTCCTATTTTTTTCCAATGATATGAAACCTTCTTGTTGCATTTTAAAAATTTGAAGGGTCTGACTTTTTAGGGATAAAAGTTTTCAATCAGAAAGAGTGTCAGTCTTCTGAAAAAAGCATTCTTAATTCATTGAAGGAAATGCACAAGCACTTCCTTATGTTTGCGGTGCCACTGTATGAAACAGGTTCTTTAGGTTGCGTCGAAAAAGTTATCTCAAAGAAAAAACTTGCAATGGGTCGAGTTACTCATGAAGATGTATCGCTCTCTATTTGACACTCTCATACTGATGTCTCTTTTCCATTTGTCTTTGCTACATTTTCCAGTAAAGGATCAATATTTCCAGCTCATTTTAGAAACCACACAGGCGTCATAAGACTAGCTATGTAGATATGTGGTTTCATGAATGATCTGAACATATAAACTCGTTATTGCAAAATGTAACACTTTTATAAAACAAAAAAAAAAAAAAAAAAAAAAAAAAAAAAAAAACACAAAAATGTCCAGTTGCACATTCTCACTCTCGCCTCTAAAATAGGGACACTCGCTTTTGCTAATGCTCGATTTCTAAAATAAAAAATTTCAGATTTGCAATTGGAAATAAAATTCGCGCACTCTAGAAAAGTATAAATAAAGTCACTTCTTAAAAACTAACACTTTCGTTATGAGGGCGTGGGAAGTGGGAGGGTGTGATAATAAAATCATGCAGCTTACCTTATAAATCACTACACAAAGAAAACCAAATTTTATTTAAATATTAAAAAGGTATTTTTTTTTTTGCAATTCACAAATAAACACACAACATTAAAACATTCACTCGGTTGCTGTAAAAAAGCGATCGGTGTTCACGAATGTTCTGCGCGAGAATCGGTGCAGGTCTGATTGCCCCTGATTTTTGGTGGTTTTTTATAAGAGCCAGGACTAGGGGGTTGCAACCCCCTGCCCCGCACATTCGCGCGGGGGTGGAGCGTCGGGTCGCGAGGGTGGAGGGCCGCCTCGCGGGGGATGGAGGGCCGGCACGCTGGGGGTGGAGGGCCGCCACGCGGAGGGGTGGTTGCTATCCACCACTCCTGAGGACTCGCGAGCCTTTTTGTCCACAGCTCCTCCTTCGCCCATCATTTTACCCCTCCAATAGTTTGTATCACTGCCAAATTAAAAATCACATGTGGAACATATTTTTGCCTTAAGGAACTTCAATTTTTAAACTTTTTAGAAACAACATATATGCCATTGGTTCCCCCCCTGCAGAAATGTCGTTTTACTGAAGAGCCAGAGAAATAAGTTCCTTATCGCAAAATTTACTCCTGGTGTCATATTCATTCATGAACCACAGATCTTGGTTTTACAATTTTAAAACGCCTTTTTCTGTATCCCTAATTTTTAGAGGTTCCTTTCCGCGACTTTTCCGTAGGAACCTAGCGAAAATTGATGCACTTACCTGGTTTACCATCCATACATTTGCTTTATTTCTTCCCTTGTGTATAGGATCCGATGATCTCCGACTATGCCACGGACCCTTTAGTAAATCAAAATCTTTACACCAAAATTCACTTCACATTGAAAAATATTCTTTCCAAACGATATGGTCCGGAGTTTCTAAGCACGTATTTCGGTGGTAAATTTCAAACACAAGGCGCAGCTTTTTTTGGAGGACGGTCATAAATAAATTGGGTTCATTATAGTACCCTATGATAGAGGTTGGTAAAAAATCAAAGTAAAATCGTAAATTAGACCACATATTTTCGATATCTCGTTTTGTGGTTCTTCTTACAGTAAGAACATAAAAATAAGCCTCTTCTAGCTTTTCTATTTTAATAAAACGGTACACCTAATATTTCCATATATATATATTCACACGGAATTATCCCGTTAACACTTTAATTTGTTATAGTTCCCGCGTGGTTTTCAACTCGCAATTTTACCCTGTAAGCATCGTAGCCCAGTATTTTTTCAAGATAACAGCTTTTGCCGGTTTGGCAACTCATCTTCGTTAGAATACTAGGTCCTCCTCTGACCATTCGAATAATCGAATAACCCATTCAATAAATCGATAGTATCGATCGACCGACGGAGAAGTTCATCAATGCCTATTTAAATAACAGATAAGGAGGGGTCTCTGTTCCTCCTGAATATAGGTCAATTGTTTCAAAGGACGGTGTATTGTTGCCCTTTTTTCCCACATTCTTAAGTGAGAGAACTTTAAATGGCACTCACTTAGCCACATGCTGGGCCTGGCTGCTTTTGAATTTCGGGAATATTGATGCAAAAGTCCTTGTATAAAACAAACTCTGAGGCGCGTGGATCTTTTCTCTCATATTCGAATCAATGAATTAGCTTCAGTTGGTAGAATCCACTTGTCTCACAAAAAGGTGGAATCCAGTCAATGACTGGCTCACATTTGTCTTGGCTCATTATGAGTGGGTGGCCTGTCAATGAATGGCCCGCCTTTGTGTGAGAGGGCCCTTGTCACCTTTGCAGGCGGGAGTTCACATGGCTGGTCCGCGCCCGTCAATGGGTCGTGCTCTCCAGACAGTCTGGCGCTATTTGTTTTAAACGATTTGGTCTAGTCTTTGAATAGCTGCAAATGAATTTCTCTCTTCCTCACTGTCTAGGCGCACCCCAGCTCTCCCACGACGCAGGATGCGCATTGTTTTAATACATTCGAATTTGAGGATTCTTTACAGTAACATTTCTCTAAAGACATTACTCACTTAATACTGTATTTGAATAGCCCTTTTGTAAGAGTCGCATATTCCTTTAGATTTCAGTGATGAATGCATGAATGACCGCTGCCAATTAAACCCATTTACCTCACGCCAGCTCTCCCACGACGCAGGATGCGCATTGTTTTAATACATTCGAATTTGAGGATTCTTTACAGTGACATTTCTCTAAAAACATTACTCACTTAATACTGTATTTGAATAGCCCTTTTGTAGGAGTCGCGTATTCCTTTAGATTTCAGTGTTGAATTCATGAATGACCGCTGCCAATTAAACCCATTATCCACGCGTCATACCACCTACTTTTCTGTACAATGTACTAATTCATCCGTTTTCGAAGAATTTTTCGTTAAAAAACACTTAAAACTGCACTTATTATTGGACAATGACATGGACCCCCCCCGCAGTTCATTTGTTTTGGAGTGCATGTGCCAAAACATCCCCCTGGGACCACTCAGGGGGGACCACCCACGGCGGCATCCCTTTGTGTTAAGTTTGATTGACAGGTTCTATTGTATGACACAAAGCGCGGGCCTTACTACTGCTGTCCGCTGAAAACGCTCTGGCCAAAAAGTCAAAAATTGGTCAGAAAAGCTCGTTTTTGACCTGTTTTTGACTGATTTTCGGCTAAGGAAGTCTCGCAGAGCGCCAAGACCGTGC